TTATCTGTCAAATGGCAATTGTGCAAATTGTAGCGATCAAGTGCTTCATATATTTCGTGCCTTTCAAGAGGAGTATATACCTTTTATAGAGAACATTTTCCTTTCACACGCGTATATGTTAGTAAGCTCACCGATCGTGTTACGCAACTGACTCATCCAGCGTTGTGCCATGAGGCTCTCTCCCAAGCCCAACCAGCAGCCTCATAGCGGTGCATAATATAGGCGGAATAACATTACCAACAAAGATTACTCCATAGTGACGACGCTAGCAAGATTGGTCCAATCAAAATACGGATAATATACACTCCACAAATTTCCACTTACCCTGCCAGTAGACGGCCTTCGAAAATACTCGCCCTTCTTTAGTTCTGCAGTAGTAGTTATCCATCTTCTTGACAGTCTGTCTGGCAACTAGCCTCACCTCGAAGTAACTACCGAACGCCCTGGTATCTGTGGAATTATCGAAAAAGTCTGTGTATAAGACGTATTTTAGTAATAAATTTGCTGGTCAAATTCCACAAAAACACGAAAAAAACAAAGAAATTTCCTATTCCTTTTTTATCGATTTTTCTATCTCTTGCTCGAGTGCCCAACTTCGTTTACGTAGAAAAAACGTTTTTACCATGTAAAATCCTAGGTAAAATCAAGAGCAACCAAACTTGCCACATAGTCGCTCATCCGGAGAAAATTGGGGTGTGGAACAGATTATCATTTCATGATGCCAACATGAGACCTGAAATTTCCAAACAAGATTAAGAATTAGGACTGACTTTGGAAATGTTTTAAAGGCAATTTTGCCAAGTAACTGCTTTGACACAAGAGATACTTGGCCCTTGCAATAACACCCCCATATTGCATGAGGCAAACATTTTCGGATAAAGTGTTCATGCACATGGATATCAAATTTTAAAAGAAAGTAGGAATTAAGGAAAGGCAGAAATTTATTAGGTCAGTTTTCGACTATGGTACCCTAAGGTTATTGTCGGTACAACTTCATCCACCTTTGCCCTTAACAATTTGACTGTCGCGTACGACGATGTGTATCATGTGTCCCACGACAAAGTGAAACAAGCGCGGTGATTTGGGCGTGAATTAGTGTGTACTGAGGGTATACCTGTGCGGCGCCTACCGTACTTCCTCTTTTTCTCCTCTCTGTGTCAAAACAGAGTCAAGAAGACCGAAGGCGTAGGAGAACGCAGGTGGATGGCGCGGTCGAGTCCACACCGTGGCGCTCCATGCCACATCCCCTGGTCCACACGACAAATGGCCAGCATTTTAACCAACAATAACGCAAACACCACAACGGATCAGAAGGTTGACTGGCCAGCTATGCTCTCGGCCTTCGCACGCGGGGAGAGGCTAATAGCGTCAAACGGCAATATAAAGTTAGTTCCAGAGAACTGCCAGTATATATCGGGCTGCAAGGGTCACAGTTTGCTGGTCCTGGCATTGCAGGCATCTAAAGACTGTTATCATCCGAAGTAGGGGCATGATCATAGACTTAAAAAGACGAATTAAGAATTTTTTCGGAAAGGTATCTGTAAACTTACAACAACTTCCTTTAGCGCTGCATAATTTATACGCCAAGTAAGCTCCACCTCATCATCGGATGGACACACGTCGAAAACCGTAGTTTCATTGTACAAAAAGAAGTCTAAATCCAAAAAATTCATATCCTTAATGTCTTTGGTGGATGATCAGTAATTAATTATTTTAACGTATCATCATAAATTATGTAAGTTTCAGTTTTCTTGCAAGCTTACTGCACAAAAACCACCAAGAGGGAGTTCACGCGATCAGTGCATTATATATTTAGATTCAGTTACAAACTAAACCGCCAGCTACAAGCGTTGAGCTCGTAAGTCCTATGACTCATCATGATGTGTCATGTTTGATCAAAGGAAATTCTCACTGCTCCGCCTCTTAGAAACGGAACCGTAATACTGAGTCTGAAGAAATGGACTAATCCAGAGCGCTCTCGAGACAACTAAGAGATAACAGTGTTTTAATTAGACAAGCAGGACCCATTGCAGAAGCATGCCCTTACCACCGACTTGGTTTGCAGGCTTGAAACCGTGGAATGAGACTTGGTCGAAATCCTGATAATATTTTGAATGAAGGCTTATTTCCCGATATCTTGAAATGTTCTCGATTTCAAATATTACAGTGTTCAGATCGCTCCCTACAAGGAGAAAAACACAGAATTCATTTAACTTGACTTCCTGGTGAGGGTGGTAACGAATCGTCTCTCATAATTTTCTGTCCCTAATTACTGCCTAAGAAGTACTTTCAAAAATTCAAAATAAGCTCAGATTCCTGGTAAATGTGTTCGTAACTGATGGTCTGGACGTCAGTTTCGAAAAAATTGAAAAAAAGGAATTAACCCACATTGTCCCATTGTGCAGTGGATGGTGGTGTTTCCAATCAGACTGGTGCAATTGTTTTTGTAGACAACGAAGAGTTCATGGTCCAACCTCAGAAACTGATCAGAAGTAAAATGGACGTCAACATTAAGTTGCAAATTACACCAAGAACACATCCAAACTATAAATACCTGATATTGTACAGTGGATGCAAACCGGAGTGTTGTTAGTGAGTCATCCGTGCGATATATGCGCTGGTTGAAGCCGCATGCAAACGCATCCAAATTGCCTGCAAAAATCGTACGTACAAAAGCCCTGGTCAAAACCAATTTCATGTTTTTAAAACGCTGATTAGTCAATCGTATCATCGAAGGATTTGATGCCCATCCCAAAACTGCCCATACAAGTTGGATAAGTAGGTTGTTTTTACCGATACACATTAAAAGTCAAAAAACTAAACGCTGCAATTTTCAAGGTTTCTTATTTTGGGCCTGCGAGGGAGTAATTTGTTGTGCCTGCGTAGAAGGTTTTAAACAAAATAGCAGAAATCGGCATATTAAACATGAGGTGGTTGTCAACTTCTTATTTCTAACTTGGCCGAAATGAACTAAGAAGCTGATTTGAAATGCAAACCAGATGGCCAGGCGTTATCTGTACACTGATGCTAAGATAAGCGTCGGAAAAGGATATCAGTTAAACCAACACAATCGCAGTATTTGTGCTATTTTATGAGGTGTTAACCGAAATTCTGAAGTGCGTTTTTAATTCTAAAACATTACTAAAATAAGGTTGTCGTGTTAATTAGTGTGTCGCATAGTGTCAGAACATTCCAGTCAGGTCAAGATGCCAGCTTTCAAATTAGCTCCTTATCGACCGCTCGCGTGAGCTATGCGTCGCCAAAAACGGCTGCTTATATAGCATACATTTTTCTTATTGATTTTTGAGGTCTTCATACGTCTTCATATATTTTGTATAAACATGCACAAAACAAACGGAGACAGCCGTTGCTAAGGAGGTTGAGGGGGAGGAGGGGGAAAGCAGCGTATCGATTCGCGAAATGCATTAAAGTCTTTTGCCTCCGGTCACGTGCATGTTGAGTTAAATCTTCTGAACATGTGCGACAGACAACTGAAGCCCCAGGGGTTTTTAACGAAAAAGACAAAGCTTAATACAACTTTCTAAAAAGCAGTTAACTTACTACAAGTTCGCTGACACTGGCAATAACAAGCGAGCAGTAAAATAGGCAATAGTTTAAGCAGCAACATCATACGAACCTAAAGTTAAAAATTCTTTTGATTTTATAGGCTGCGAATTCCCTGACCTCGATTTACGCTCTTGATTCAACAACACACAAATTTCTCTCAGTGGTTAACTGTACGAATTAAAACTATCCAGTGTTTGAATCGAGCTACGATCATCAAATTCTTTGACCAATGCTTAGGCTCAGTGGTTGATTAAGTAAGCTTTTGGCATTATGAAAGAGTAAAAAGCAGCCACTTTGTCAAACGTAATTTTGAATGATTTCGCAATCTTTTAGTAGAAATTAGCGGCAGATCATGTGAGTACTTTGTATTACAAGACAGATGGACGTTACTTGGAAAGTCACGCTTGTGCCTCAATTCAGATCAATTAAGGTCTTCATAAGTATAATAACCGAGTCCCTGCAATGTGCTTAATGGGTTGGACGTAAGGTAATATTGTCTGAGTATTGGGATTCCATTTGAAAGGGTTACTCACCGATCGGTTTACAGAAGCTGATCATTCCATTGGACCTTGGAGTACAGTGCGGAACCTTTGCACGACAGCTAGCAGGGAAGGTTTGGTTAGCTATTTCTGGCTTGATAGCCGTCTTCAGCTGGCCCTGCCCAACCTATAGGCGAACGCCCTTCCAGCATAACGAATATCCTTAATCGCAAGCGATGGTTCACTTGGTACACTTGACACAGTGCTAGACATAATTATGCTCGTTGACCGAAGAATGGGTGATCGGACCTCAAGGTTCGCAAGCCGGGGTTTGGGTATGACAGACAGACGGCAGCTTATAAGTCAAGGATCACCATCCTAGAATCCCTTCTCCTTGTTGCAATCTCAAGTATTGAATTTCGTTATTCAAATTAATTTAAAAGCACCAGTAAAATGGAATACGGCTGTTTTTTAACCTTAACTAATTGGCTAACATCAAGTTTTTAGACTAGGATCGACCGAGTCAAGGAATTTTAATTTGCCTGCAGTTTACACGGTAACAGCAGGCCCCAGTAGATAAATGAACATAAGAGTTGCAGTAACTTTCTTTTGTGGCAATACCTTAAGTGTAGTTTTGAAACCCTTACTACTGGCAGTCTTTCATTGTTTAACCAACCCAGTCGTTCTGTGGCTGCAAGCGGAGGTCTAAATGGAATTCGAATTGCGACGGGAACGGCGAATCCAGTAACTCAAATGCGGAACGCATTTCCAATTTTAAACGGCACGCTTGATTAAACCCTACAAGGGTAAATTATAAGTCTCAGTAAGTACGAATGACTTAGTGGGCAGGAATTTTGACAATGTGGGAGAAAAACCTGTCGGCATTTAGTCCGAGTTTCATGCACGAATTTCTTGGACTAGATATCCGAATAAAACAGTTGATCTGTAGGGCAGTCAAATTAGAAAGTTGAGGCTAAATTTGCGTGGGGCAGAGGAGGAGTTACAGTAATTTGGTTTATGCTGCGCCAAATTGGCTTCCTTCATTACATCATCATCATCAACCTCATCAACGTCCTCCTCCTCCTCCTCCTCCTCCTCCTCCTCATCATCATCATCATCATCATCATCATCACCACGGGCACAACCATCAGCAGTGCCGACTCGTCCCGAACCCGTCCTGACTGCGGTCGCATCCTCCCGAAAATCCGTCGACGCCAGACAGATCGTACACTTCAACATCAACCATCCTCTGTCTCACAAACGTAGTTGTGTCCGCACTTTATTCCAAAGAGTACAAACATACCGCAGCACTTCAAAAGCTAAAGAACCAAACGAATACACCTTCTGAACCTATTTGCAGCCAATGGTTATCCCACACATTTCATCGAGAGAAGCAGACGTCGAACACAAACGACTGCCGAATGAGCAGCAATGCGATGTTTGGAGGACCTGGTGCTATGCCTAATCTGGTGGGTTGTATCAGTTACGAGTCCGCTTCAGAGACCCCTTTAACGAAAGGAATGGCCCTCCAGACATCGCGTTGCTGCTCATTTGATCATCGTCTGTGTGTTCGACGTCTGTTTCTCTCGATGAAATGTCTGGGATAACCATTGGCTGCAAATAGGTTCAGAAGGTGTAATCGTTCGGTTCTTTATCTTCTTGCGTGCTGCCGTATGTTTGGACTCTTTGGAATACAGTGCGGACACAACTACGTTTGTGAGACAGAGAATGGTTGCTGTTGAAGTGTAGAATCTGTCTAGTGTCGGCGGATTTTCGGACTACTATACTTTGCAGTAGTTCAGTTGTACAGCGGCGCGCGTGTACGTCAAGTAAGGGAAATTGGTTGTTTGTTTCTGTTTCCATCGCAAATTGCATATCCTGGTCAACCGAGTGCAGTAATTCCTCTAGGTGCTCAGTGCCAGTTGTTTTGACAGCGACGAAGGTGCAACATAGCGGGGCCAAAACTTTGGTTGATACTTGGTAAAAACCAAGTGTTCTAGTCGTTGAAGAACTACTTCGGCAATTAGGCCACTCGGAGGTTAGAACCTAACTCTCAACTAGCAACACACGCTGGAGAAACTGGGCATAATTTTGATATTCAGAGAGCTACCATCTTAGGCCGGGGCGACACGAAAGCAGAACGGCTTACTCTTGAGGCGTAATTCTCCGATGCCCACTCCATAAACAGGCATCTGGACCTTCCTGAAACCTACAAAGTCCTACGTCATCACAATCGTAGACGTGATATAAACGCGTCTCAGGGCCAGTGTTAATCGGATGCCATGTTCTCACACCGTCCGCATGACGGAGTCAGCGTGTTGAGGATGGTGGAGTTGGGTTGGGAGGGTAGGAGAAAAGAAAAGGTTCCACTAAGATTTTTAGCGCTGCAAGTGCGTGTGACTGCCCTCAGGACGTCGAGACGACGTGTAATCACTGCCTGGAGTCGGGCATGGCAGACAGACTGCTTGTGTCAGCGCCTTCTGACAACAGAGTGCTGGGTTCGTTAGTCAATTTGCCACTGATTCGGCTGTGGCCAGCACTCGTTTGTGCAGGCCTTTACGGTAGTGTGCCGGTGCCCGGTAGAAAACTTTAAAAGCTTCTTTACCGTCGACTTGGTGGTTCGTATCGATTAGATGTGCGAGATTTGAACTCAACATTGATCGATTTTCGCCTCAGCCTAACCAAAGAAGGATGTGTTTGCCTCGTTGTACGGCCAATATATGCCGCTCCACAGGGGCAGGTGAATGAATAAATACACATGGATGTGACCTGTAACGACAGCCGGTCTTTGGCACCCAACGATATTTTCAACAATATTGTACCCATATTTACAGCGCGATATGAGTGCATGATGTGAAGAAGTACGTGAGATACGTCGAACGGTAGCAAGATATGAAGATTTACATGGCAAAGACAATAGAACATTCTTTGGGAAACGTATAGTGAATAACTGAGGCGCAGGCTATTCAGAGCCTTGCTAGGACAAAGTCAACATCTAATTTAAGTAACAAACCCTATTTGCGATTTCATCCTTTTTCTCGCAAATGTTTATATGATTTTCGTCGCACTTGTTTCCTCTAGGTTTTAGGTACGACCATATTGAGGTGGTGTCCGTTATGTCTTAGAATTGTTAGTTATTAGGTCACACTTGTTGTCATCATAATGACTGTTTTTTCCTTAAAACAGAGCACCCTACTGATGTTTATTCCGCGTGCATACTCCGCCATAAGCAATGACGACGGAAAACGTTTGTTTGAATTCCTAGAATCCTTATTTCAGTAAGGAAAAACGAAAGCTAACTGTTTATTGACCTCCAGTCTTGTTTTCCACATCTTCCGACTGAAAATTGAAAAGTTACTGGAAATTATTTAATGAACATTTTTTACCTCATATGATGGGCTTGGAAGCATTTTATCTGACCGCGCTTCAGCCTTATCGGTCGGTATCTACACCAATGTCTATTTAACTCGTAGATAACAGTTAAAAACGTATTGACTGTACGAATTTTATTATGCCCTAGAACAAAGCATTCACAAATTCCCATGACTACGAGTTTTCTTAATTTCGGCGATCTCCAGCTATCCGCCTTTTTGGATCTCTCAGTTCAACACGCGGTTAGTGTGTGCTGGCAGTGCAGAAAGAGGTCAAGAAGGAAAACTTTCATTCAAAACGTTGACATTTTCAGCCAGACAGACCCACAGTTTAAAAGTTCAACAAAATTGCCCCTATCCTAGAAAAAGAACTAGTCTTTGTTTTAAGCAAAGTTATTTTCCTCAAAAATGTTAACCCGGGCTTTAGCAGACAATCGGTCTAAGTGTTAATTTAAAGAGCTGAAGCAGAACGGCGCTTATGGATTTTAAACGCAGCTGTTCATTCACAGCTAAGATTGCTTCAAAGCCAAGAATTACATTCATTTTTATAGATGTTTTGGCGGATTTCTGAATAAGTCATATTGACCCAACTGCGAAAAACTTGGCGCCTCGGCGGGATTCGAACCCACGCTGTAAGGGGAAGGATTTAGTACAGCCAACGCACCAACCACTTGCGCTACGAGGCCCCCTGCGAAAACCTCTATGAATTACGTGAGCCTAGTTGCCATCTGGTGGATTCTAGGTGAATTACTTAGGAAGTCGTGCCTGGGCAGTCAACTTACTGTATCAGATTTGGTGGGTTGCAGACGTTGCGCTAGGTTGGACGGGTAACTTGACCCAAATGTGATTAAACTCGCGTCGTCAGGCGGGGCTTCGTAGCTCGAATGGTTAGAGCATGGCCTGTACTAAGGCCTTCCCCTTACTGGGTGGTTTCATATCCCACCGTGGCGCCGAGTTTCTCACGGTTGAGTCAATATGATATACTTTCATTTTGCGGTTTGTACAGCGAGACTACCCAAACCGAGGGCAGAACCATTAAAACGTGCATTTTAATGCCATCATGGGTCTGATCATATTGTCCACCCTCGATCTTAATCCCACATTTACAATGTAGTATGTCAGGTGAAGCGACAAAAATGGACATATTGTTAGACCTTATCTTGCACACAATTACTCAAAACTAACCGTTGTCTAGACGGCCGTCCTTGCAAATAGACTGAAAAAAAATTGACAGGATGACAAATAATCGGGACGCTAGTTTCAGATCATTATGTCATTTTTAAATATATCTTCCTTCAGGACGAGGAAATTCTTATTCTGGTTATAACTTTCTCTCGTACAATTGTAAAGCCAAATCCTCCGGTGTAAGTGGCAGGCCACAGTTATCTACCGGTTCTTTTTGGCGAAAATAATGTAAACCGATCGACTCCAAATTTGCGATTTAGTTTAATCAACGTCCAAGCCGTTGGAACCCAAATCCACAACGGGACGAATACGATTCTTAGCTAGATCGATGTGCGCTCTCCTGCCTTTAAATACATTCCCGATCACAGCCGACAGAACAACGGACCCCTAATCGGGTGGTACATCGTTTGACTCAACGACCAAGGATCTTGGGTTAGAACCCTAGGTGATCCGCATCTACTGATGGCAGCTAACAAGGCAGAAACGGTTATCCCAGCCATCCTCGTCTTTGTCGGTACCGTATTATCTGCGTATGCAGCTGATCGCTATGCGAATGTCTGCGAGAGTTCTGGGCTGAGCCCGAATGCACAATGGAACGAGCAGTTTCCGTAACCTGATCGGTGAGCACCCCTCTATCATAATGTCTATTCAGTTCGCGTCGTTAGCTAAATGAATATTTTTATGGACTGTAATGATGCCTCACACAATCCGAAATAGTCCTCGCATCATCGCATCTTTGTGGGCACTCATCTTTCCAGCACTAGTTTCAAATATGGTCAGTTATGCACTTCAACAAACCTTAATTGCAAATGTGGCAATTTGTGTTTTTGGGGTTATCGTCGATGATATCTGTGTGATTCGTTACGTTAGAGGAATAGTATGTCTTGTCCTCATAATGAATGGCTTCTATTCTCCAAACATAACAGTCTACTTGTTTGCACTCTGCTTGCATAATCCGTCACAGGCGATGTGATTGGTAGGAGTTTGAATACATTCTGAAATAAAGTTCCCTGAACTATGATATCAGTAAATGAAAAATGATGACTGGATGGCCAATGAAGTTCTGACCTTTCCGAATAATCCCAGTCATATATCAACTCGGTTGATTAGTGAGGAGTGTTCTGGAGTTCAAGAGTTCAGTTAAACCCCTCGATTTAGAGAAAAGAACAGGTCTGATTTATTGTGAAAACACCCAACTAAAAATTTTAAAGCCAAAATTTAATAGACAGTCAGCCAAAACGTCAAATCTCTGAACTGAACGGAAACAACTCATTTGAACTCTAAACGAAGCTGCCCATAATCGATGAACAGGCCAAGAAAAAACTAGGAACAGTTTCAATCGATGAGCTGACTCTGTTTTTACGATTTTGACAACGAGATTACTCAAGCAGAACGAGGCCGCAATGTGCCATTCTCTTGAGAAAACAAATATCTTTCTTATTGTGAGTCTGATCAGTTCGTCTACCTTCAACTTGAAGGTCCAAGGTAAGTGTTGGAAAAAAGGGACACATCCCGCTCTTCCTCCCATCAGAAAAAGCAAATGAGATACCTGGAACAGGAGACTTACTGGCTTAGCTTTTCGGATTTCACCTCAAAACTTTATCAGAAACGATCACAGATAAGGTGATGAAGGCACACGGTGTGCAGTATCCACACAATGTAGTTGCCATGTGACCACGTGGCTACTGAAATTAGCAGCTTCGAAGTTCATCGTTTGCAGTCAAATTGGATGCGGTGATTGCTTGTCGTCAGTTGCTGAATTCTTGACATGAAAATCACTCGGAAATTCGACTTGCTGTCCGTTTCGCTGTCGGCAGCCTGCGTCTTCCTACATGGCTAGTTACTCCGCTGAGACAAATTCACAAATCGGAATATGGGACTGAAAGGTAACAGCGCTTACTGGTCGACCAGAGACCGGAGAACTAGGACTCGAATAACTCGCAGCTCACGTAGTTGTTCCCCATTGAGAGACATTTCAATACTGTCAAACGTAAGGGTGGGGATGGGTCCCCGACGACTTAAAATCCAACCTCGTTCCTCCTAACCTCTGCATGTTCGGTCACTCGCGTCCAAAGCAAACTTCCAATCCCTCCGACGCATGCGCATTGTTCGCAAGTGCGTCAGATCCGGCAAACAATTTCGAACGTTTTCTATGTCTTTCAGCCACATGACTTGGCACCTGACGGTTGCCTCTGGTTCGAGTAGTGAGAGACGGCAGCTGACGATGTCCTAAACGTTCTTCATGCACAGGAGGGCTTGCCAAAATCTTGGGACAGTTAGACTGGGCCTCTTGTCCTCTTTGTACATGCCCAGTTTGACGAAGTTGCACATGCAACCATTCACTTTAAGCATTCGTCGGGGATATTTTAACTCAGCAACCTCATCTTCCGGTTCGCTGCTTTGCGTCTCAACAGGTCAGTATAGCATCCGTACGAAACTGCGTTTGTGACATATTTACGGTTTGCTGTTAAAGTGCAGTATCTGCGTCATATTTTGTTCGATTTTCTGGGCACTTAATCTATAGACCACCATAATACTTGCAGTAGACGAGGACATGAAGGGCAGTTAGCTGGTTGCGTTTTTCTTCATCTATTACTTACAAAAGGAGGGGACTTTGAGGTTTCCTTAAGAGAATAGGCCATCTTTATTTCTGGAGTTCATTAAGACTTAAAAACGCGTCTCACTCAGTTGACCTTAGTAAAGTTTACACTGTCCGATGGTGTAGGCGACCATGTGTTCTAAAATCCAGCGTTTTTACTGGAAACCCGATGACAGAACCACATGATAACTGAACGGATTGGAGCTCCCGAAGTTCAATCGCTGTCTCGATTACACGGCCACGGATTATGCAGCTGACGCCCTAGACTTATTTTAACATCCTGCTTGTGTCCAAAAACCTAGCAGCCGAAATACATCGGGCAACTTTAAACATGTTCGGTTAAACTACGACTGTTGACATTCTCTTCGAACACCCGCAAATCACTTAAGTAGAGTGAGTGACCGATCTCATGAAATGTTGGCCAAAATTCTGAAATGCGTTGTCGATTAGGCAGGATTACTTAGGTCGGATTGTAATATTGAGTATCTCGCGACATTACCCTATGGTATGTCGGACTCGGCAGGATGTCCGCTTTTAAAGGCACTTCTTTTCTATCTCCTGTGGAAACCGAACTCGGTAAAAAATGGCAACTTATGTAGCATGCATTCTTTACATTGATCCTCGAAGGTCTTATAAATTCAAATATGTTTTATGAAAAACAAAAACAAAAATATTGTTTCTTTCACGCGTTTGATAAAAAATCACGTCATTTTCATATTTTATACTCCGGAAAGGAGCATAATTCGATTTCAAAAATGTTTCTAATCATGAGATTTTTCAAGATCGTCCAATGTCCATTCATACAGAATCGTACCTGTACGTTTACCACTGCTCCTCATGAAATGTACATCATAGTCCGGATACACTGCAAAATTTTGTAGATTCAGTATGGAATCTTTTTAAAGGCATAGAAGAATACATGATTCTCCTTACGCGGAACGCACGCACCTTGAAGACTGAAATCATTAGGCGCTAATGCAACGGCTGATCAGGCTCCAAATTATTCGGGAATTAGAAAACTTCTCTGAAATCGAATTATACTTCTTTCTTGAGTATAAAGTATGAAGCTGACGTGATTCTTTATCAAACGAGTGAAAGAAACAATATTTTTGTTCTTGTTTTTCATAAAATATATTTGAATTTATAAGACAATCAAGAATCAATGTGAAAAATGCATGCTACCTAAGTTGCCATTCTTTTACCGAGTTCGGTTTCTACAGGAGATTGAAAAGAAAGGCCTTTAAAAGCGGACATCCTGCCGAGTCCGACATACCATAGGGTTACGTCGCGAGATACTCAATATTACAATCCGACCTAAGTAATCCTGCCTAATCGACGACGCATTTCAGAATTTTGGCCAACATTTCATGAGATCGGTCACTCATTGTATAGTAAGCTAAGAGCTGATCTGCCAATTTCAAGAGGTAAACAGTAGAGTGGTTCCGATCATAAAACCTTGCGCGTTCGTGGGACATTTGAGGAGGATAGTTATATAGTGTAGCGGTTAAGCTGTAATGGTGCATGCTCAGTGAGCCACAGCTTCAGGCGATGATGACCGTCCACTACAATAGTGCCGTCCGCGCGTGAATTTGAGGCCAAATTGCGCAGCTTCAACCACACTCCCTGTTTCATCATCAACGGTTCGACGATGTCAGGAAGATAAGAGATAGGCTAGGGTGCAGCGAGTGACAGCCTATTTACACCTGCCATTCCGAATAAATGGCCCGAGCTGCATCAAAGTAGACGTCTGCTACCAACGTAAGCGACATGTTCACTTGTCGACATGCGACGTATCGTCCGCCGTGTTGGCGGTGGTAAGACGGACGGCATGCTCACTGCGGGAATTGACAAGGTGTTGCGTGTGGGGATAGGTAGGTACACAGGTAGCCGCATAATGTATGCACGGATAGGTAAGATCTAAACTGGAGATTTTAATGCAGGCGCCTATGGAGTAAAAAAAAACAAATGGCAGATTGGTTTCGGTATAAGAACCAAGGCGCAGGTTCTGGGTCTGCCTATAGACGCTTATATGACATAACGTTATTTTCTTCAAAATCTAAGCAAGCCGTTCAGATATTTTTAAAATCGAGTAGTCCTCTGACGGCCGTGGCACCAGATAAATATGTACCCGCATTTCGATAATCAAAGTTGACACACTAACCAACACTCATGCTGTCTACTCGTATTTGCAAAAAAAAAGACCCAAAATTGTATTTATTTAAAATGTAAAATCGACCATACATCTCTTGCAAAAGTGCGTCATGTACGTGTCTATCATTAGAGCATGTAGTCGCAGATGACTCAGCGAAGTCTCACTTAGTGTGCATGTTATTCCGCTGCAAGTTTCCCTGAAAGGAGACAATAATATCAGGTTACATAGAGAAATGATCCGCATATTATGAACCGCAGGTATAAATTTAAAGCATCCATGAAAGCAGAGACGTTGAGGAAAGGTGATCCAACGAAAGGCCAGATGTTCCTAACTCCTCGGATTTTAATAAGGAGCTCTGGTTTGGTATGCAGTTGCTGACATTTTAATGTCTCACTCACAGTTGAAAAGGTCTTTTCCAGGTTATAGAAGAAAAGTAGACATCCGACTCGGTCTCATGGGCAACTTTAAACATACAGGATTGGATAAATGTTGCCTGTGTATGCAAAAAATCCATAAAGCAAATGTCCCACTTCGGCCAATCGTTGCCCTAAAAGGCAGCCCCACCTACAAGTTGGCAAAGTGGATGTACACCAAACTGAAGTTCCTTAAAGGCCATCCTACTACCTCAGTTCGATCGGCCTCTCAATTCCTCATAGACCTCCGAGGTCGGAGGATTCAATCGAGCGAAATCATGGTCTCCTTCTATGTGACGTCGTTATTCACATCCATCCCACCAAACTTTGCCCGCGAAATCTTGCGCAAGAGACATGAAGAGGCGTACGATGAGACTGAGAATGCCATCAAAATTAAACACCTCATGAGGCTGTTTGAATTCTGCCAACAAACTTTCTTCCCTTTTGCGGGAGAGACCTATGAACAAATCAAGGGAACCCCAATGGGCTCACCGGTCTCCGGTTTGGTGGCAGAACTGGTCCTACAGGAGTTAGAAAAGATTGCCTTCCTCCAACACGAACCGGTGTTTTGGCGCTACGTTGACGACACGTTAGTCATCGTAAAGAAGGACATGCTACAGCATTTCACAACCTGCTCAGCGCAGGCTTTCCTGATATAAAATTCACGAGGGAAAAAGAACGGAAACAGCAGTTGTTCTTCCTGGATGTGCTCGTCAGACGAAACCTTAACGGTGAACTTGAAACGACTGTTTATAGGAAAGCTACGAACACCACACAGCTTCTCAGTTTTCACAGCAACCATCCGGTGGCTCACAAACGAAGCTGCGCGAAAACGCTCTTCAAACGGATCCAAAGTCATTGCAGCAAACCGGAGAACAGAGCACGTGAGGCCCGTTATCTCTGCAACCAGTTTGGTCAAAATGGTTATCCAAGAGCATTCACAAATCGTTGCCTGCGCGGTCGCCACCAGAGAACTCGAACATCAACGCCACCGGCGATATGGCATTCTCTGCCATACATCAAGGGTGTTTCAGAAGCGACCGAGCGCATTGCTGCGGAGCTAGGTGATGGAATTGCACACCGCCCCAAAGCCACCATGCCCAACAGGGTCATGGAAATTAAAGACCGGTTAAAACCTGAAGAGCAATCTGGAGTAGTGTATCGCATTCCGTGTCAAAAGTGTCCTTGCAACTACGCAGGACAGACTGAACGCATGCTCGGATCGCGCATACACGAACATAAGCTGGCTGCGCAGCGAAGCGACGCATTATCACAAGTGGCCGTCCACACCTACGCTTCCTAGATAAAAACATTTTCATTCAATTTTCTTCGATAGATCGTCTCCTGGACTTGTGTCCTTCAATCCTTTCAATTCCTTCCAGAAGAAACTTCTTCTGTTTGGTCTCTGTATCTGAGTGTGTACTTGAATCTATAACTTTCCTGTCGGGCCAAAATAATTTTTTATAAAACTTTAAAATCCGCTAATTACATTTGACGTTTGCGCTTCGCTCATACCCCTCGGCCCTTAATCCAACAATTTGTGGATATCTTTTATTTTCCTTCTTATTCTTTAGTGCCATCCTGTTATGTTTACTGTCTTGTTTCAGAATGGCATGCTCACTTTCATACGCGTTCTGTGAATGCTGTCTTCTGCTCCGTCTGTTTCCTACGTCTCTTTCCTCGATGTCATAGTACAGCAACATTTCACAATTGTAAGGCGATTTTCTGATTAAATTATTGGTGATGCTAGTCATCCTTTTCGACTTGAATCAACCGCTGCAAAGTCTATTCGTTCCATGCGCCGTGATTTCGAACATATTTCTAGAGCATATCTGGGCATGCTAACATTTGATATTTCCATTCCTAGCACCGAAGGCCTGAAATTGGAAACTAAGGCCCGATATGTCATAAAAGTAATTATACAGTTTTGTGTAAAGTCATCTGTTTTCTCTTTATTTATTTATTTTTGGGGCGGCCACAGGGCTTGATAAGCATGGTTATTGAAAATGCCGGAATTTCGCCTCAAAAATAGAGCGCATTCCTCCCTCCTTTAGGGAGCCAACACTTATAAAAAACCGAATTTCATATCTGCACACTATCGTTCTATTTGAAAAAATCAAACATGTACGACAAGGAGTACTGAAAACACTCTAATTTATGGCGAACACACTACCACCTGAACGTCGGTCGGTGGTATTTCACTCATCCGAGCAGCGTTCTGCCACTCAAAGGAAAGTGAGATCGAAGTTGTTCACTGACATTACAAAATTGTTAAACACCAAAGGCAATAGATAGGCTGATGAGTGTAATTTACCTTCCCAAGATATTAGTTTCGTAAGAACGAAATTCCCATTTAGTTTGCAGGAATATTCGTCGAAGCTTTCTCCACCCCGTCTCACTCGGAGTACATAAATAGCCATGGCACCAACGAATTTAAAGTCTGCAAAGACAAATAAAAAAACTATAATGGATGATATTTGGTAAAGAACATTAGTATTGTTATTAGAGGTAGGCGGAATAGCGGGTCATACTGGAATGGCTTTATTGCCCTTGTTTACGTCCAATATTCTAACGAATGTAGTGTCTGGTGGAAATTGCAACAGAGCAGTATTACTTGTTGTAGTAGTAGGCGGGTTAACATTAATATCAATGTAGATATAATTATTAATAGCAGCGACGGATGCAGCGATGTCGACTACAATTCAATCGTCGATAACGACGATGTCCACCGTGTGCCCCGTAGCATGACGGGTAGAGGAACGATGAATTACACGGGAATTAGTTTTTAGCGATGGTTTTTAATAAAGTAATGAGATAGTAGCAATCATGAAGAGGAGAAATAGGAATATAAGACGAGAAATTTGGGAGATGATGGCGATGGTTATGATGATGCTGATAATAATAATCGTAGTAATGACAATAATAAATGCAGGAATGTCATTCCTGAGTAATACATGCTGATGATAAAAACCTTTAGACTCAGCAGGTATCTGTTTCCGGAAAACACATACTAAAAACATTCCTAATTACAGGGAAACGCCCATATTCGATCGTATTCAACTTACAGCTGCCGGTATCATCTGTCGATGAACCCGGGTATGTCCAGTATCCATAGTTTGAAGTGCATGTCATCTATAGATAAATAAAGCCGTGGTATTTAACGTCAGACCAATTTTAAGCAAAATTCGGTAGAGAGAATAATGAGTAGTCAATGCCAGATGGCCAGTGCGGTTTGAGTCGGGCATCTCGTTCTCAGTTTTTCTACTTCATATGTAGACCACGTGGGTATAAACCTGATTGGACAACCGCATCTGTTTTTTTTACGAGCAAGGACCCCGGCGCCCAAATTCTTAAGTCACCTCGAACTTGATGTTTTGTCGGGTGACGCTGCGTGGGATGACCGCCATCATTTTCGGGTGCGGAAAGCAGAACTACTAGCATGCGGTCATTTCAACGTCCGCTTACAAACTGCGGAAACAAGAATAGTTTTGTAGCAGGAAACTAAGAAACGTTTCTTTATTTTACAGATTTGCATCAGCTCACAGACTTCTTTAAAACGCCAACTTATACTGTCATTAAAAAAACCTAGCATAACCATTTATAGTCAAGTACAGCACGTGTTATATCAGTGCGAATGTGGAATCGTGCTTATGCGAAACGTTGATTGACCCATATCACAACGAATGGGAACAAAGCTGTTTAGAGACATTTAATAGTAACCTACACAACGCTTTCAACCACAAAAATGCGAGCGGGCCACCGTAATATGTGGAATGCACCAATAAAATGAAATTTTACTGTTGCTTTAGGAACAATTAATCACTGTCTGCCTTATAAGCATTTACCGCTACCCACTTAAAAATTTCTAACGCAAATGAATAAGAATTCTTTATCAAAAAAACGAGCCCGTGGCTAAGGGGTTGGGGACGTTGGACATCTAACCAACAAGTCGCGAGTTTGAGCCTCGGTGGTCTTATACATCGGGGCTGGGTTTGGTTAGCTGGTGAAGGCTATCAATCCAAAAATGGCCATCTTAGTTTTCCTTTTTCTCCACTTACCTTTTGACCCAGTTGTGAAAAACTCGACGTCTCGGTGGGATCCAAACCCGCGACAGCAAGAGGCAGAATTAACTACAGCCAAAGCTCTAGCCATCGGAGCTACGAGGTCGCACCGGGAGCTGTGAGTATACTTCCCTGTCTCTGTCGGTAATGTGATGCTGTCTATATTAAAAGCGGCGATGTGGCTGCTGGCGTGACTCAAGAAAGAGTCCCGGAGTACAACGAAACGAATGGGTTTCGTAGCACGATCGGCGCGAAACCCTCCACCACTAATCACTATGTTTAATCCACCGACACAGACATGAGGGGATTTTATACCCCAGCGGTTAAAACTCGCTCTTGCAGATATCTGCTTTGCGTTTTTCCGATAAACTTAAAATCGATTAAAGTGGACAATTACTAAGTGTGTTGATTGATCTCCAGCGAGCTACCATCTTATGCCGGAGCAACACAAAAGCAGAACGGCCAGCTCTCGAGGCGTGGTTCTCCGATGTCCACGTCATCAACAGGTATCTGGAACCTTCCTGCAGCTGACAAAGTCCTACGTCATCAAAATCGTAGAACTCAGGACCAAACAACCACGCCGGGCTTAAGAAGGCCATAGGGAAACAGTCCGACGGCGAGTTTAATCTAAAAAAAGAACAAGAATCGCCAGACCGACCACCCGACACTGGTTCAGTCACCACCGCCCGACGGAGTGGTGACTCACAACGCACGCAGACAAAACGCCCGTCAACCATCACCCGAGAGGCCGAGGCAGCGCGAGGAGAGAAAAATCGATCAAAATGAGGCCGAACAGCGTGGCACGCCACTTGGTATTTCTGGTCGATTAAGTGCATTTTACGCTTAGACAATTGAGTACCGACTTAGGTCTTCATTTTGGCTTTATTCCAAACGGCTATGTGGCCTCGGCGAGATTCGAACAAGACACAGGAAATTCAGGGCTTGAGAACTGTGAGTACGTGAGCTATGAGGTCTCACCTGCGGCGGTGAATTTAATCACACTCCGGTCAAGTTACTCACCAACTCCCTGAGTACCCTAGTAGCTCAGATAATTAGATAATTGGTTGTACTCAAGTCTTGGTCCTGCCGTGCTGAGTTTAAATCTCAGGGAGGGCGTGGAGGCAAAAAGGGAAACGGATAAGGCGAAGTTTGCGAATTCAGACACACAATGACCAATGAACAGTTTGTTTGTTTGAACCTACATTTGTGATGTTTTCCTGTCTTGTGTCCACAATCCAGTAGAGCATCACCTCGTCCTTGCTTATGCTACCGTCCAACTGGTTGTACATAAAGCGTTCTAGAATGAATATTATTATTAAAATTAAAACGCGAAACCGTTTTTCCTAAAATTTGATTTTTTTACCCTGCAAGGCAAACGATGCACATTTAAACAGTTCGCTATGTCTCTTGTAAGCCGCATTTCACTGGCTAGGGGAACCGAACATGCCTTAGAAACTCTTGTCAGGTCATCTAGCTAGATGCTTTTACTTTGTCAAAAAGCGCATTTCGGCTGTCGCTAGTTGCGAAATACCCAAACCAAAACCTTTCGCGTTTTGCTTTACTTCATAGAAATTGCGGCAAAAAATGCTCTTTCACTC